GTACATAAGATCTGACAATTAAAATATATAACTGGGCCTGGAATGGTGGGTGGCTTTGTAACACTCAGCAACCTGTTCAAGTTGCAGGCATAAGAACATTGAAAAGGCTCTGTAAAAGTGATAGAAAGCAAAGAGACAATATTTCATCAATGTACTGTAAAGCTTCCTGAATCTCCTCTCCTCTCCTCTCCTCTCCTCTTCTCTTCTCTCCTCTCCTCTCCTCTCTTTGGTCCATTAATTCCACCTTTCAGGGCTTTAAAAAAGTTTTGTTTCAGATTCAGTCCAAAACAGCAAAAATGTGAGGTTTGGGGTTCAAATAATAGATATTACCTTATTTGATTATTGTTAACATGTGGGGAAAAGTTTGATTCAGTTTTAGACATCTAATATCATTTTCAGTATATCAGACAAAAACTGGAATCCTATTAATTAACAAGACCCTTAGAAATTAGTCACTGCAATACTGAAGTTGAGTCTCCACTGTAGGATTAGTAATTGCCCTACAATGAGATTTGGCTCTACAGCCTCTCTCTTCTTAAATAAGTGTTCCTGTGGAAACATCACTTTTTCCACCCTTGCAAGATATAGTTTCATCAGGCTATTACTCCCCTCCTGAAGTAGAAAAAGCATGTTGATTAGAGCTAGTTTCTTCCTCTGGCTTTTAACAGTGCCAAGCACACATTTGGTACTCAATAATTAATAACATTTCTGCACAGCAGTATGAGATTGAATTTGAAATATGGATTGATGACAGTTCTCCATCTCCAACAGGGCAAATTACCTTTCGTTTGCATTGCATTAAAAAAAAAAACAAAAAAACAACAACAAAAAAAAACCCAAAGGTAACCTGAGATGTCTTTTAGCTAGCTAAACTTTTTACTTTATGCTGAAAAAGGAGAGAGAAAAAAATCTTATGTCTAAGAGTAAAAGCCAGTTTCTAATTGCTGGGTTGTTTGGGGTTTTTTTTTTCAGAAGACAGATTGCCTAAAACAACTACTTTTGGCTATTGTAAGCACTTGTCTTTTGAGCAGCTTTTCTCAACTGGTGTAGTGTGGACATTTTAATAGAATCTGGGTACTACTACCCACATTTGGAGCACCTCTGCTACGAGGACAGGTTGCGGGAGCTGGGATTGTTCAGCCTTGAAAAGAGAAGACTTCAGGGGGACTTAATAGCTGCCTTCCAATATCTGAAGGGAACCTACAGGAAGGCTGGGGAGGGACTTTTTACAAGAGTGTCCACTGATAGGACAAGGGGAAATGGGTTTAAGTTGAAGGAGAACAGATTTAGATTAGATCTTAGGAAGAAATTCTTCAGTACGAGGGTGGTGAGACTTTGGAATAGATTGCCCAGGGAGGTTGTGGATGCCCTCTCCCTGGGGGTGTTCAAGGCCAGGTTGGACGGAGCCTTGAGTAGCCTGATCTAGTTGAGAGACGTCCCTGCCCATGACAGGGAGGTTGGATTAGATGATCTCTAAGGTCTCTTCCAGCCTATGCCATTCTATGATTCTATGATTCTACTCATAGACTATTTTTTGAGGATTTGACTAAGTCTTTGACCAAACTACACAGAAATGTGGGCTATGGCACATCTTCTAGGTCTGGCCCACCAACATCCTCCAGATAGGGGATATACTAACATATGGAATAGACTGCTGGTCAAAGCATCCAAAACTCTCTGCATGGAAACCAGGAGAGAGCAGGGACAGGAGGCGCCACAAGCACATCTGGGTCTCATCTTAACATGAAGTCAGGACCATCAGCACACCAGCACCTGGTTCTAAAGTATAGGCATAGTCTAATACAGTCCATACATAAAGACTATCACCTCTTGTCAGTACAGGGGCCCACACGTTGACTGGGGGAAAAAAAAAAAGTAGGGATCTGCACATTAAAGCATCAAAAACTGGTTTCTACAGCATTGGAGTGGATGACTATCAATCTCATTCAGGATGATGATTCCCATATTCCCCCTTTATTTCCCATAATTTCCATTAGTTTTGACCTAAAAGAGGAGTTTTGTTGGAAGGTGAAGAAGGCAAGGAAAAGGTCTAACTGTCCAAATCCAAGCAGTCATGCTGGTGTTTCCTGCCATATAGCACGTGTATGTCGAGTTCACTAAAAACCAAAGCAGTACAGACATGGTTTCTCTCAGCCCAGGAATAAGTTTCTTTCTCTCTGTTGATCCTTTCTGGAGAGATAGAGGGATGTGGCAAAGTATTTGACAAATAAACAAGCACCACAGTGACTGAATTACTGGGGAATTACTTTCCAAATTTTCTATCGCTGAACACTTGTAAAACATATTAGTATGTATCATTAAGCACTTGTTCTTAAGACAACTCACCCCTGTGCAAAAAAATGACACAGCCCATAATCCCACACCTGAAACCCCAAAGAAACACTAAAAATGACCCAAAGTCTTTCAAATCCTTCAATAGAATTTAGTAGCTGTGTTTCTGCACAGAAGCAAAGTCTTCTCCAATACACAGCCCTGGAACTGACCCTGAGAAAAGACATCTACTCTTGCAAATACTGCTCGCACTGAAGTGTTTTATACTCCTCCATACACCAGCTGAAATATCAAATTAATTTTCACATTAGCGTTTGTAATGACAGCCGTGAAGGAATGTTGGAGGGTTTTTTCCTCTCCTCAGATGAAATCTTTTAAAGCAATCCTTTGTTTTAACAATCAGAAAGGGGATATTTTTCTAAGGCAAGACAAAATCATGTCCTTTATCTGCTCTGAAAGCTGAAAACACTTTTTGTGCAGAACCTCTGGTTTCGCTTTCCAGAATAGTCACCCAAATATGTTTGCAGCTTCCCTGCACTGGTTAGATACACTTTCCACACTAGAAGAGTTGATTAGAGTTTGGTCACTGTTTTCATAATTACATGGATATTTAGCACTGAATGAATGGCAATGGCAGAGGTATTATAGTTCAAAGCTTTGAGGAGTTCTGTGATCACATACTGTTTCTGATGGTGTCATTTGCTCTTGAATGGATAGAAAACCCTAGAGTCTCATATCAGTCTCTTCAAGATCCATTCTGCTGGCTTTCATGTCGTTGAAATTTATGCTAATGACTGGGAAATGGGGAATTTTTGAGTTTTCTTTATCTGGGTCATAGAATCCTAAGCAGGGGTTCTTCAGGATGGAGCTACCAAGGACACTTACCTCTTCTTTCCTTCTGTTGTCTACTTTTCAGTACTCAACTTACTGTGAGCATTTAGTCTCCAAATTCCTTCTCTTAGTCTTGACTTTTTCTCCTTCTGTCTTGTTGGGCACAGAGTACCTCTTGGTTATCAGGTTTAAATGGAACCGTGTTTCCTTCCTGCTCCTCTTAAACTGCTTTCTTTGATGTCTAACACCTTCACTCCAACCTTATTTCCTTTTTTCTCCTGTCAAGTTTCTGCATATTCTTTTCTCTTTGCTTTCTCTTTGGCTACCCTAACTGAATTTGTATGATCCCGTTTGATTTCCTTTGTATTTTTCGGTGAATTTATCTACTTTCTAAGCCGCTCCACTTTTTCCTCTGCTCTAGGAATCGGCTTCCATTTAATATGTATGTGTCCTGCACAAGCTTCATGCCTATCTGGGAGCACTGCATATACCGCACTCCGGATTACCTTAAAACCCTTGGTAGCCAGTTCGCAAAGCTCCTGTTGTTCTTCTTTTCAGTAAGGTTATAATTCGTAAATGAAAAGACTTCTCTGCACTGAGCACACATCATTTTACTGTCTCTGGTTCACTCTCAGATTCACTAAGCTTCTTCCTCAGTTATTTATACAATGCACACCGCCTCTGAGGATCTGCTACACCTGCATCCAAAGTTTAGCCTGACTTTGCATGTACTCAGATTATTTCTCTTTTACAGGATTGTTCTCTTCAAGGTACCTTTTGCTATCTCAATCAGGTTAATGGATAAGCAATAAATAAGTCATTTGTTCTGTAATGTTACTAGTGTTAAAATGTACAGGCTTCCACATGCAAGTGTGTTAAATATTCACAATACATCTCATAGCGCATGGGAATGGAATATGACAAACAACTCTTTGAGAAGGCATCTGCAGGCATTTTGCCCAAATTTTATTGAAGCATTCAAATAGGTATTTCAACTCCTAACACCAGAATTTTTGCAATGAGGGTGAAATTCACCACTGGGAAGAGCACCAGCATAAGACCTTTTCCATGTTCACATCCCAGTTAAGTGCTCAGAGAGCAAATGATGACCAAGTCTTATCCTGATATCCTATACAGGGATTAATTAGATCCTCAAGTATCAAACTTACCCCAGTGAATTTTTAATTTAAGTGCAAGATATGGTATTTAAAACATTCATTGTACAGCACTGGGCCCTAGGATGGGGTCTGATTTCACCAGACTTCATGTCTACATCTCAGCAGGTCATCTAGCCTCCTTTCATTGCCAATGGAGAAAGAAAGGCCCATTCATGACATGAACTGTGAGCCCACCCAAGTTTTATCGAAGCAGTCAGCTAAACTGTTGTTTGCTTTGACAAGCAGAGGAACAAGTCAAGTGTTGCAGAGGAACAAGCCAAGTGTTACAGAGATGGAGGATGAGAGAAAAAGATTAGGTTAGGATTGAGAAAGTGGCCACCAGCTGGTTTCTCAGTTTTCCTTAATTTAAGTGTTGTTTCCCTTAAACTGTTTAGCCAAACATTTTGGTCTGACTCCAAAAAATGCTAAAGACAAAAGGTTAGCATGTAATTTATTCTGTAGAACTTTTTAGCTCCTCCTATATATATATTAAAAAAAAAAAAAAATGGTGAGCACCTCTCCTGCATATCCCTGTTTGCTTCAGCACAGGTCTGGGGGTTTATGCAGCTGTTCCACCGCTCTCACAGCTGCTTTGCACTGTACCCCCCCACTGCCACAGTAGCGTTCACGTGCATGGCCCTTTGCACAGCAGCTGTCACAGAAAGCTGAGCACGCAATCACTTCTTTCTGTTTGCTCCTGTTGTTGTCGTGATTTATTAGGTACAAAGGCAGGAGACTGGCCCCGCACAAGTCGGAAATAGAGTGTTTCACCCCAAAAGGGAGTATGGGGAATGGTGGGAGAGCTACAATGACCAGGTAAGCAAACAGCAAGTGGCCTTAGGGCAGTGTGATATGTCTGTGAACAAGAGAAGCAGCCCTGGGACAACGCCAGGCCAGATGCTCTGTCTGTAATTCCTGTGCATCCCATATAGTATGTTTAGAAAAGAAAAAGAAAGCACATGGCCACTGCTGATTTCTGTGTTCCATCTGACCACCAAAAAAACCCTGCACTGTGTTCATTCAGGTGATCCGAACCACGTGTCCTGTGTGATGTTGTTGTAATATTGTGCTTCAGGAAGGAGAAACCTTCACCTGACTCTCTAATACAGTAGAGCAGATGAAGTGAGACAGTATTCAAACTTGGAGTAAGCAGCTCCGGAACTCTGGAATGGTGGTCCCACTACATATTAGGGGTTACATTAGGTCTACGTTTCAAAACAGCTTTTAAAAGAGAGTAGAGAAAAACTGATTGATGAAAACATTTTCAACAACAAAATGTTGGTTCTTCTCAATCAAAATGTCTTGTGGGAAAGTGCTGAGTTTTACAGTGGTTTTAAGGAAAGATTCCAAACTATTTTAAATTGAGTTCAGAACATCTTTTTCATAATGTTTTCCATTTCATTTAATTTGGATATTTATTTTCAATTTTGCTTTGGCCATTATATATTGCATAACATTATGCACCAATGTTATAATTTTAATGAATATTAACTGCTACACTTTTTCAGCATCACTAGGACAAACTGTTTCAATATGGCCGTTTTGATGATTTTGTATTGAAATATTTCAAACTATTGAATTCTGCATAATACTTGGATATTTCAACTATTCATCTGATTTTGAGTCCAGTCAGATTTCCAAATGTTAAACTCTCCCATAGGACAGAAAACCCATTTCTCCAGACATCTCCATTAATAAATGAATAAGCCGCATGTATCACAGATGGTTATAAATCTTTCATGAAACAATACTCTTAATAAGCATTGTATCACTGTGTTACGTTCTATTACAAGTTAGAAACATTTTGTTTATCGTTTATTAAAAGATCTACTCATTCCTTATCGATCCCTGCGGTGTTTATAAACAGAACCTCAGAGCACAGTATGACCAAATTATACTTTTACTTTTCCCAAGTGTTACATCACAAGTGAATTTTGTCATTGCAGGAGGGTGTTCAGTGAAACACTTGCACGGTGTTACGTTCCCCTGGGGTGCAGCAATATTCACTCATGTACATAGAGCTATAGACTGTAACACCACGTAGCACACAGCTGGGAGAATCCTGTCACTTAACCGACATCGGGAACATTCATCCCCGAGTGTTGTACAAAACGTGTTCACGCCTGGTTTTATTTTTGTCAGCTGGGATTCTGTTTGTTGTCTGTGTGTTGTCTGGAACATTTTTCTTCCTACATTGCATTGTCTTTGGCGATATTTATTCCTCATTTAAAAGCTTTCTGAAGTCACTGTATAAGAGAATTTTGAAGAGTAAAATAGTACATGTAAATGTCAAACAACTGTATTTTGTTGTACAGTATTCACCTCTGTTTTACCTGGCCATATATATACACTTGAAAAACTTCTTTTTTATATTTTATATCTTCACAGTGAAGAATCTGTTTGCATTCCAGACTGTAATCGATCTGAGTCAAGTAGAGAGGAGAAAAAGGTTCCCGTTAAAGAGGATGCCCTAACAGGCAAAAAGACTGGAAACTGTGTCAGTCTAATAGTTCCACAGCAAGACTCTCAGCTGCAAGACCTACTCAAACAGTTAAGAACATGTGCTGCTTAACAGAGAGTGCAATTGCATTTGATGGCTGTATTTTGTTGTCTCCAGCCACAGTGTCCTGGCCAGTGGTCCTTGTCAAATTTCATGAGCTGAGTTGCCACTGAATAGGCTGGGATCCTCCCAGAGAGAATGTAGATGTTGCAGAAAAGAAAGTAGGTGCCTTTCTCCTGTCTCAGTAAGTATCAGACCAGTGCTAGAAGTCACTGAGATGAAGTACAGATGTTACAAGACAGAAGCAGGGGTCTGACCATTTGTGAATAATGAAAAAACCCTCATTGTCTCACAGGACAAAGAGGTCCTCTGATACTAACTGAATCCCATTTACATTCTTTCAGTCTAAAAAATGCTGTGCAATTTCATACTGGGCAGTACTGTTCAGCTCGTTCTCAAATCCCTCATGCAATATTATTTTTGTGTTCCAACACTAGTGTGGATATTTTTCACATCAGGGCTTCACTATCTCTGCATACTAGTCTTACAAATGGCTGGGGAATTTTCAAGTTAAAAAGTGTCATAAAAACAGCAGCATTGGTTACTCTATGTGATGCTTTGTAAGGCTATTTCTGATTAAGAGAATTTACTACATCCTGCATCACCTGTGAGTACCATTCACATATATCTGACAAAATTAATTATAGAATGGAATGTTTTATAAAGCTTCTGCAAAGTAAGTATTGCAACAATTTTTTTTTGCATTTCTTGCATCATATTTGCATTTCAGATTTGATTAAATGCAATGAGTAATAAACTGCTTAATAATTCACAAAAGTAATTTCTCTGCTAATAAGTCCTATGTGCATAAATACTTCTGCAATTATTTATAAGGCATGCTAAACACCTGAAATTCCTCCAATTGTATGCTCTCTGCAGAGGATAGAATTCAAATCAACCCTGGAAATACAACCAGGAAAGTTAAATCTTTCTCTCTCTCTCTCTCTCTCTCTCTTTTTTTTTTTTTTTTCCTTCCTAATTATGCACTGCTTGTGCTCCTGATTACAGGCTCGGGCAAGCTGATGGTTCCTGTTTTTCCCAGTTTCCCTTCCATATCTTTAGCAAATTATCAATGGAAAAGATGAAAAAAAAACATGTTGACTAAGCAATGTTGAAAACATCTTAAAGCTTTGCCTATCAGGAAGCAGAACTGACAGTTCAAGAGGCGGCATTGTCCTCTCTCCATCCTGTGAATAGGATGCTCCAGCATAGCAGAGGTGTACTCAGAGATACTTGAAGTGACATTTTTCAGATGAGAAGCAAACCCCAGCACTAGCTGCTTTAATTAACAATTGCAATGAGGTCACAGTAATAGAGGAAAGAAGTTACATCTGGTATCAAAATAATTTTTGCATTTTGAGTCATGATAATAGGCATCCTAGAAATATTTCATTCCGATATCAGACAATTCATTTCCCGCGCTAACCAGGCACGCTGCTGAAACAGCTGCCAGCATTAGCATCGCTGGTGGCTGCTCTGGGAGGTCATTGGCAAAGGTTCTGTCCGTCAGTTCTCTCTCGTTGCAGTTTCTTTCATCCTTTTATATTAAAGTAATTCATATAAGTGTCAGCTGTGATTTTCATGAGGAAAGGAGGTATCAACAGATTACAGTTTCTGGAGTAATATAAATAAATGCCCTCGCTGATGCTAAAACAAAACAACTCTCTTTGCAAAATAATTGCAAAATACGTTGTTTACTTCTAGAACTCAGGACAGGACAAAATGAATTTTTGTCCTGTATCATTCTTCTTTTGTGTGTCATTGCTATTTATCTCCATAGAACAAGTAGCATGGAAATAATTCAAGCTAAGTGACTTGAGTGATATACCACTACCCAGCTATATCTTTGTAGCAGAATTGGCTTTCATCCAGGGAAACAATTATCATAGAATCATAGAATGGTTTGGATTAGGTCCCTTCAGTTTAAAGTCATTACCCCTTGTCTTATCACTACATGCCCTTGTAAAAAGTCCCTCTTCAGCTTTCCTGTAGGCCCCCTTTAGGTACTGGAAGGCTGCTATAAGATCACCCCGGAGCCTTCTCTTCTCCAGGCTGAACAGCCCCAACTCTCTCAGTCTGTCTTCATAGCAGAGGTGCTCCAGCCCTCGGATCATCTTCGTGGCCCTCCTCTGGACTCGTTCCAGTAGCTCCATGTCCTTCTTGTGCTGGGGACTCCAGAGCTGAATGCAGTATTCCAGGTGGGGTCTCATGAGAGCAGAGTAGAGGGGCAGAATCACCTCCCTCGACCTGCTGGCCACGCTTCTTTTGATACAGCCCAGGATACAATTTGCTTTCTGGGCTGCCAGCGCACATTGCTGGCTCATTTTGAGCTTCTCATCCACCAGCACTCCCAAATCCTTTTCCTCAGGGCTGCTCTCAATCCATTCTCCGCCCAGCCTGTATTTGTGCTTGGCATTAGCCCCGACCCCCGTGCAGAACCTTGCACTTGGCCTTGTTGAACTTCATGAGGTTCTCACAGGCCCACCTCTCCAACCTGTCAAGGTCCCTCTGGATGGCATCCCTTCCCTCCAGCGTGTCCACAACACCACACAACTTGGTGTCATCTGCAAACTTTCTGCGGTTGCGCTCGATCCCACTGTCCATGTCACCAACAAAGATGTTAAATAACACTGGTCCCAGTACCGACCCCTGAGGAACACCACTCGTCACAGGCCTCCACGTGGACATTGAACCATTGACCACAACTCTTTGAGTGTGACCATCCATCCAGTTCCTTATTCACTGAGTGCTCCATCCATCAAAACCATGTCATTCCAGTTTAGAGACAAGGATGTCATGTGGGACAGTATCAAATGCTTTGGATAAGTCCAGGTAGACAATGTCAGTTGCTCTTCCCCTATCCATCAATGCTGTAACCTCATCACAGAAGGCCACCAAATTAGTCAGGCAGGATTTG